TCCCATCTTCTGTGCAACCTTCTCTATCCTCGTAGTAATGATGACACTACTTCCATTTCCTTTTGGCAATGCTTCATTAATTCTGAGCCACCAAGTAACATCCAAGCTCCACACATCATCCATCACAATCAAATACCTCTTGCCTAAAAGATATTCATTTATCTTCTTCAATAATTCACCCTTGTCGTCTCCTACACTAGCATCTCCCAAGTTCCGTAAAATACTTCTCATGATTTGTTCTTCATCGAATTTTTGAGAAACCGATACCCAAATTCTCCTTTCGAAGCGCTCCTCAATTTTCCTGTCATTAAATACTTTTTGAGCAATAGTAGTCTTGCCAAGTCCACCCATTCCCACAACTCCAATAGCTAGTATGCCCTTGTCAGCCTCAAATAACCATTGTTTGATCTTACTCGCATCACCTTCCAAACCAACGACCTGCGTATGGTCATACACAGGACCGCTCCATCTAGGCAATAGGTCATTTTGTGCATCCAATGGCTCCACTTGATTCAAAAGTGGAACTCCAAGATACGACGTAATGTTCTGCTTAATGTTACCAATTTTCCGGTTGATTTCTGCAAGGCTCTTCCCGGTTTGATATTGGAATGGAATTTTCGAAGGGTAGATGCACATGAACCAACCACTCGAAAGCAGACCATCATCTCTCGGGTGAAGTTGACAATCTGCTAGTATGTCTTCGGCTTCATAAATCAATTCTCGCAAAGTCGCCATGATGCTGCGAACGGTCTCGTTCTTCCTCTTGAGCCGCTCTGCATGTTTGAGAAAGCTTTGCATTAGTTGGAGTTCGGATTGTAATGTTTCGAATTGGCCCCTGAATTCGCTAAAAATTCGGCTCTCCTCCGATAGAGCTCCTAGCAACTTCTCCAAGAACACAGTTACTACTGCATCCACCATCTTGCAGAAATCTAATAAGATTAAAAGAAAAATATGTCATGAATTTTGAACATTTGAGAATATACAATCTTGCAATTTAGTAGATTATCAATCATATTTTACAGTTCTTTTTCCTAATATTAATTGCCTCCTCAACATTAACAGTTTCCAATCCCTTTATACATTTGAACAACAACCACGACATGTTAAAACCTATAAAAATTAGGCTCGTTTGATGACCATTTCAGCGTTCAATTAATTTTTCTGAAAAAATAAACAAAATGGTTATCAAACGGCCATTTAGAAAGAGAATTCAATCGCACTAGCGAATTATAATGCAAGAAGAAGAAATTGTAATGTTAAATCAAGGAAATTAAAAGTTGCATCAATTGGGTTTTATTCACTTTGTTAATATTCTCTGCAGACCATGAGATTAATACTAATTAGAGCAAAATAAAGGCAATAAATGAATAATTAAAAATAATGAAGCAAAATCCAAGAGTTAATTATTAACAAAACTTAGGATCAAAGGGGAACTTACAACTCAAGTTCTGAACAATCCTTTGTGATTCTATCTGCTTATGACAACTTGATGCTGCAATCCTTTGTGCTTCTACGATCTGCTTAACAGGTTCAAGTTCAACAACGAATTTTACAAAACTATCCTCGTTAGGTAGACCAGCAATCCGTGGGTTTCGAATTTCAGAAAGGCAAGATGGTAATTCCGTTCAACAGTCCTTGTTAACGCGTAAAAGTCAACTCTTCATGTTTGACGAAGCTTCTTAGTGCCTTACTTGTAGACCAAAGACATCCCTGTTTGCAATGTATTTTGCCAACTCAATGGGGACATTATAGGGAGGGAATTTCCTTACTCTCCATCCCTCTTGCATCCTCCTTAGTTCTTCTAACATTATGAGGATTTTCTACTCTACCCCTGTGACAGGATGTATTAGTATTTGAACGGCTAAATAAAATACATATATATATATATATATATATATAATTTGTCATATAAAAATCGAATCTATATATTTATTATGACACTTAAAGGGCACATATCAAACTAAGAACATTTAGCAATTTCATTCTTTTTTTTTTTTAAGGAAAACTAATGAAAAGAGTTTGAAAATTTTGAGTTTTAACGATAAGGACAAAATAAAGGTAAAGTAAATAGTACCATGATTGATTTTTTAATGTAAAAATGTGGTTTTTCGTTAAAGTGAATAGTATGGAGAACTTTTCGTTAAAGTTCTTTTTTTTTCCTCAAGCTAAGATGCCTCATGACTTTTTGATATAACCAAAAACAGTGCATGAGCATGATCTTGTCACGAGTGAGTCCGAACAGTGCCAGCCCAGGCTCAGTGCGAGCCGGGCGACCGTTCAAGCTCAAAAAAATTAGGAGCATCAAAATTATTAGAGTGGTATATTCGTATATGTTTTCATAAGAGTATAAGTTTTTTAAATTTGATTAAATGACAAAGAATTTAACTAGAACTAGTGGTTTTTGTTGTTGGAAATAAATTAGGAGGTCTTGGGTACAAAACATCATGTGTGTTTATTTACCTTCCAATATTTACAAAAATTCTTTTACTAAGAGTATAAATATATAAAATTTGGCCAAATGTTCAAAAAGTTTGACCATAAGCGGTGTTTATTTTGTTTAAAATTAATAAGGAGGTCTCATGTTCGAAACACGGTGTGTTTTTTAATTTCCAACTTTTACAAATTTCTTTTCATAAGAGTTTAAATTTATGAAATTTGGCTAAATTATCAAGAGGTTTAATCAGAAACAATGTTTTTTTTTGTTTAAAATTAACGAGAGGTCATGAGTTCAAAATGCTATGTGCATGTTTATTTTTTTCAACTTCACTTATCATCTATTTACTTGTAATCTCGGGGGTTTTTTGGTTCCCTTCTCTTGACACAAAGTTTTTCTGTATTTCTAAAATATTGAGTTTTTTAAATATAATTTTATCGAAGTCATATGTGAACAAATAATTTTCCTTATATAATAAAGTTAGGGCACATTTTTTGGCATCGTCCTGGACCTCAAAAATCTTAGGAACGGACCATGATCAGGGTGCTTGTGAGAGTCTGAGGCCAAGAAAGGAACCGAAAACTATCCGAATATAATTAGTTATTCTCTGCCCTAGCCCAGCTCATGTTAGTTCAACGAGTTCTCACTATCCTGATCATCAACATGAAAGCGACACGTTTCCTGCATTTTTGCTTCTCGATCAGTAGTTTCAGTTTTATTAGTCCCTTCAACCTTCTTACATTTGAGAAATTTGACGAGGCCTTCAAGAACAGCATCAACGTCATCTCTCCTCATGCGCTCCTCACAAACCTCTGCAGCGTCAGTTCCCTATCGAGTATCAACCCTTCATTTTCTATGTATATGCAAAGATGATGCCGATTGCCGTTGTGAATACCCAAGGTAGTTCGATGAAGCAGAGAAAATCAAGGAAACAAGGAAACAAGGAAAGTGCAGTGTTTTGACAGTAATGAAAGAGATAAAGATACTTCAAATCGACGTCAATGGCAAAAAAGGTTTTTATAGAGGGAAAATGGTTTCAAAATCCAAAGGCACACGCAGTTTTTTCAATGCTTGGCACCTTGAACATCTGCAAAAAGTAAGTGAGGTGCCATCTTCTAATATTCTTGTAAGTACACAATAGTTTAAAGATTTAAAACAAAACAATTTAGAGCTGTTATTAGCACTCTAAAAAAGTTATCATGCATGATGCATGCAAACAAGATTTAACCAAGGTTGCTAGAGCATTATGCTCTACCTTTTGCACTCAAGTTTGAATCTCCCTTCTCATATTTTAGATAAATTTAATGTAATTATCCTATTATTTGTCAAAAAGTCATAAGCAAAAATAAAAGAGAGAATATACTTAAGAACCTAAAACCAGCTGAAAATGTCCTTGGAGTCCACTATCCAGACCAATTTACAGGAACTGAAGAGTACATCTAGATCAATTAATTTAACACTTTTTATTCAATTGCAAATTATTGTGTAGTTTTGTTGTGCAGTGGAGAAAATATGTTAATCTAAACAAGATAGAACAAGTAGCTTACACACACATTTTGTATAATTGTTCACCTATACTACACACAAGGAACCACACGTTTTATGGATCGACAATACCGACATCATTAAACCACATAAACTGACGAGGGGCTGGAAGAGTTAACGGCAAGTTCAGGACAATAAACGGGTATGGGTCGGGTTCGGATATTTGAAAAAAAAATTTGAGTCGGATATAAAGCGATGCTGGTATTTTTATTTCCCAACCAAATCCGATCCGATTATGTATGTATATTAATATAATTTTTATAAATTAGCATGCAATAAATACATAGAAAAGTATGCGGTTTCACTTTTAAACATAAATTTAGGGTTGTCGTCTTTAACCCTAATCATATTCCCTGTATAATGCATCTACAGTTCGTGGTAAAACTTATATGAAATTTTATTTTTTTGATGTCATGGGAAGATCATGTTTGGTTTTAAGTTACTCATGTTTTGATGTTACGCAACACTGCAAGTGGGTTGTGCGCATGCAAGACATAAAACCTAACACCTCTCTCTTTCACTTTAGATGTAGAGAACAACTTGTATGACACAAATTCAACGTGTTACGGTGGTGTCCCATCTCAATAACACATAAACATGTATAAACTCATGACACGCATGTTGTATCTCTCGGTCCGACTCACAATTCCCATAGTCAAAATTCAAACCACTGTGGTACAGCATGTACCGATTCTTCACGTGATTGAGAATATTTTTGGACAACATATTAGGCAAGATATTTTGTTTAGACACTGAAATTTGTATGCTCGTACTCTCTATGTCTTGCCATTTTTGCTTGCACTACAAGACAACAGTTCATCTACCACGGGTTTTATCAGCTTGTTGTAAAAAGTATAAATTTACCACAGACATAGTAAGTGCGTGATGAATAATAATTTTTTACCACGGGTAAATCTTAGCCCGTTATAAAATAGTAGTTAATAATCACGCGCAAAGTTGCACATTATAAATATTCTAAGTAACTACGGACAATGCTCGTGGTCAATATTGTTAGTATCCACAATGTCTTTTTATTATCTACCACAAGCATAATGTGTGATAGAATCATAAATTCACATATTTGGAGGAGGCGGGACACCAAAATTTTAGACATCTTTTGTTGAAATTTCAAATTTTTTTGACAAATCCACTTTTTGCTCTATCTCCTTTCCATGTCCATCTCTTCCACTTTATCTTCCTTTCCCTTTTCCAAAAACAAAAACAAATTCTACCCCCTTTCAACTACGCTCCCACGTTTTTCCAAAGCTCAACCGCTTCGGTTTCTTAAAACAAAAAAAAAAAAAACATCATAATTTGTCTCTCCCCGATTTCCCATAATTTAATTTGCATCTGCTACAATGGTGTGTTGTATGTTAATCCTATCAATGTTCTATCCAGTCTCTTCGGAATATTTCTCTGCCCCTGGTAAGTTTCTTCACTAAATCTTCAAGGACCTGTTTGAATTTTAAACTCTCTGTGTTATTTAAATTCAGTTTTTCTTTTGTACTTTTTTTTCTCAATATCTTTTTGTCAGTTGCTACAATGATTGTTAAATTATGAAGCAGGGGAATCTTAGGTGATGGAAATATCAACAAATTTTACACCGGTGATTTCATATAATTTTTTTTTCCGTAACTAATTTAATTTTTCCTTTGTGAATGTTGGTATTGTAGGTAACAATCACAAGAAGCTTACAGAAATGAAGCAGCAAATTGTCGAGACCAATTTGTGCTTGACAATGGCATTTTTTTCTTAAACCCATCAGTTTAGATTTACTTGAGTTTATTTGTTTGCGTAATCTATTTTACATGGTTTGAATGCAACAATCAGTTTGTTCCTTTCTTTTTACTTTTGTTTCTTTCCATTTGGTTTCTTTGCAAGTGTCTTTGCAGTGAAGTCTGCAGACCTGAAAGAAATTTGTGCATAGCGAGGTAACAGTTGTGGAGGAGTGTAGAGAGGAGAGGTTAGTGACTATCTTAAGAGGACGGGTCACGTACTATCCTACATATCTAACTTCTCTTTGTAATACGTAGCATGATCATTTTTATCTTCAAGTATATCTATATCAGATGGAATCAGATGGAAATGTATTTTTAATTTTTTTTTCATACCTTGATATGAAAATGATTATTTTTGTTGATTTGGTGGTTATGTTCAGTAACATATGAAGAACTACCAAATTCGACACTATGTACCATGCGTTCGAATGTTTTAATTATGCACAAAATAATAAAAAAGACCTTATTTTTCTTTCTTGATAAAAAGTGTTGGTGTTTTGCAGGCACTTGCAAACTTAAAGTGTGATTGGCTTGCTGGAGATGTGTGTCTTCTGGAAGAAACGATTGAAGAGAAGAAGATCATCATTGGAGGACGAATGTTGGAACTAGGACTTGAGTTTTGTTTTATAGTGTGAAATAAAGCCTCTACATGTTTTGGTGATTTTGGTATTTCTTAATATATATATATATATATATATATATATATATATATATATATAACTACTCATTTTGTTGTTATTTTTGGTGTAATATTTGAATATGTGAATTTTTATAGATTAAATTTGCAATTTTGTATATAAATATCTTTATATATATATATATATTACTTGTTTATTTATTAAATAATTTTTTTTTAATTTTTGGAAATCTTTTTATAACGGGCATTAGCCGTGGTCAATTTGTAATCCACAATGGCCATAGCACGTGATGTTAGATCCCAATCTACCATGGGCACAATCCGTGGTTACATTGCATTTGACAATGTGCATAGTCCTGGTAAAAGCAAAGACTTTTTATCACATCCAGAATACTAACGGGCACGATGTCCGTGGTAGATTGCACTTTACAACGGGCATCCAACGTGGTAGATGAGCTTTTTTCTTCTAGTGTTGTGTACTTTACTAAGAATGAGTACCAATTCAAACTTTTATCTGCATCTCTCTGAATCTTTCTAAGAACAGAGACAGAAGAAAGAGATCACTGCTTGGACACTAAGCTGCCTATAAGAATTAAAATTAAAATTTAAAAATTTAAATATACAATTTGCTCAACTTCTCCACAAGACACACCTTTTTGTAAGATGAAGACAATGTTTTCTCTCAACAATCCCAGAGAAATGCCCACAACGGTGTCGTCTTTGTTCTCAGCCTACGCCTCCTTCGCCGGATCCATGATGCTGGTCCGTTCCATTGCCAGAGACCTCTTCCCACAGCCCCTCAGCTCATACATTTTCTCAAAACTCTCTCGCCTTTTCAGTACCCCTTTCTCCTCCATAACTCTCGTCATAGAAGAGTTCTCCGGCGCCGCACGCAACCAGGTCTACGCCGCCGCCGAGGTCTACCTCCGGACCATCAACAACATTACTCCTTCCACTCACCGCCTCTGTGTCGGAAAAAATATCCGGCAAAAGACAGTCAGCCTCGCCCTTGACAACAGCGGACAGCTCGAAGACGCCTTTGACAATGTGAATCTGACGTGGCGTTTCAAGGTGAGGAAGGAAAAGTCTGGTGCTGAACAGCGTCAGTTCGAGCTGAGCTTCCACAAAAAACACAAAGACAAAGTGATGGAGTCCTACTTCCCCTACGTGCTTGCTAGGGCTGACGCCATCAAAGAAGAGCAAAGGGTTGTGCAGCTTTATTCCCGCCATTTAATGTCTGATACTGATTTCAAAGGCAGGTGCACATGGGGTTCGGTGAATCTGGAGCACCCGTCTACGTTCGACATGATGGAGATGGACCCCGTGACGAAGAGGATGATTGTGGAGGATTTAGAGAGGTTTGTAAGGAGGAGGGAGTTTTACAAGAAGGTGGGGAAGGCTTGGAAAAGAGGCTACTTGCTGTATGGTTCTCCCGGGACCGGAAAATCCAGCTTGATTGCCGCCATGGCTAATTATCTCAAGTTTGATGTGTATGATTTGGAGCTCACTAGCATTCAAAACAACAATGAGCTGAGGAGGGTTTTGTTGTCCATGACAAATCGTTCGATTTTGGTGATTGAGGATATCGATTGCTCTGTGGATATACAGAACGGGGAATCGAATAAAAGGTCTCAAGATATCTCTCAACGATCTGCTTCTAACAAGGTTAGAGTCCCCATTAGTTCTCGTAATTTTTTTAGTCTAATCTAATTTTTAGTGGACATTTAACTAACCTTCAATCCATAATCTTAGATGAATAGTAGTTTACTATCGTCAAATCTTGTTGTTTGTAACTCCTTGTTAGCTAGATGGCTCTGGAATAGATGCTATAACTCAATTTAACATGGTATCAGAGTCATCGACATGTTTATCTAACGTAGCTCAATTATATTGAGTAACATTAAGTAACAAATTTGCACGCTCTAATACAGTAGATTAAAGTAAAAATTTTGAAACAAATCAATTGGTTGAGAGGCACAAAATGTTGTATGCATTGGGATAAGACTTGCACTGCGCATATAAAGCTAGGTGAGATGATATTATATTACGTTCATTTTGGTTCGATTCGATTAGGATTTCTTTTTATACGATTTTTCCTTTTTTTTTTTTTTTTTTTGCCTCAGTTTGGCTGCTTTTTTGTGTTTGTTTTTCGAACCCACCCCTAATGATGATGCATTGACATGTTATGACAAATTGGATATAGCAGTTGACACTTTCAGGCCTACTGAATTTCACCGATGGGCTGTGGTCGAGCTGCGGCGACGAGAGAATTATCGTGTTCACAACAAACCACAAGGAACAGCTAGACCCTGCATTGTTGCGTCCAGGTCGAATGGACCTGCACATTTACATGTCCTATTGAACCGCAGCTGGGTACAGGATCTTGGCCGCCAACTACCTTGGCATTCAAGAAAACAACCGTCATCGCCTCTGCGGAGAAATTGAAGCGCTGATAGAGAGCACAGAGATTACCCCGGCAGAGGTTGCTGAGGAACTGATGAAGAGTGATGATGTTAATGTGGCTCTTGAAGGACTTGTCAATCTGCTCAAATGTAAGAAGGCCGCCAAAAGCAATGAAACGGAGGATTAAGGGAAAGCAAGGAGTTCAGGTTCAGAGGAGTAATTAACTAAGCTAGTTTTATTTCATCTATGCTTTTATAGACATCAACGTTAATTTCATGTCGTATCAGTTTGAACTTGGGATTAGTAATCCATCTGTTGCTCATATGTGCCCGTTAATTTGGTTAGTTCGTTTGAATTTAATTAAGCTAACCAAAAGTTAATCATGAGGTTGTTTACTTTTATTCTTAAGTTCGCATACTTGTTAGTAAGCACAACAGTCATGTATATGTCCGCATGAATTCCAGCTCAAACTCGATCCATCCAGCGGAGTCCCAAAGTAAGAATAACCACCTTATAAAATGAGTATAAAACAAATATAAAGACAAAATGAATCTCTAATGAATCAGAAAGTGAGTTTCTAAAATATAGAGGACTCACCGAATACTTGGTGTATGTATCTATATATAAAGACTTCATAGGGGCTCAACCTGTAAAACCATTTTGTGAATGACAATGAATTATGCCGAGAATAATTGAGGGAATAGTTGACTTGACAATCAAGTTAATGAAATTTCTAGGACTCTTGGTGCCTTAAGGAACTAAACATATTGGAGTCCTAATTCTATGTAATCAATTAAGGGTCTTTATTAAGTAAATATAAGGAATAAGAGTCATGATGAGACTCTAATTGATTAGATATGATTTGGGTTGATATCTTTTCCAATAATAGGGAGGAATTGGTTGAAACCCTAGCTATATAACTTAAGAGCAGTTTCCATACTAACTGAATATCACGAAAACTACAAGCTTATTTCGATAATAGAGTTCATTGAGAGGTACTGGAAGCAGAAGACTACTTCTTCTTTGTTCACTTTGTTCGCAAGGATCAATGACTTCATCTTCATAATCATGTCTTCCGTATTCTACAGATAAGTTTAATATAATTAGTCGATTTTTATTTTATATATTGATTTGATTTATTCGTGATCCTAATGTCTTGTTGTTGTGATTTCAGAATATGTCTTACACAACCTTCATTGAAAAACAAGACCGACAACCTTGGTTTCTGTTGTGTGGTTGGAGTTCAATCGCCTCCGACTCTCGTTGGAGAAATTTTTTATTGTGACGGGAATATAGGTGGTATACCACGTATTTTTATGTAAATGGTTGGAAATTTTATTTTTTAAGTTATTAACTTTTTAACATACATATCTCACCATTTATATAGTTACACTTGATGTACCATCCTATGTGTCGGTCATTGAAAAATCTCTCCAGCTGCTGCTGGATTCGCCTGCAGCTGGCCCCACAACTTGATCGCCGCTGTCCTAAACCCCCAGCGCACATGGCCTTTTGCAAGCATGAAAACCACAAACATGAGTGATGACCGACGTTTCCCCTTAAAATTTCAAACGTTGTGGATTATTTCTCAAGGGCTTGTTTGGTATTTCGCAATCATTTTTCAAGTTGCGGTAAAAGGACAAGCATAAATATAGGTTTTGAATGATGACCAAAAAAGAAATCTTGGTTTTAAATGCTAGTGTTTTTGGAAACTTCGTCGACAAGCGAAAAACAATTGGTGTCAGATTTGAATTTTTTTAATTAAAATGTTTATAAAAATATTTTACAACAACGTAACGGTAAATTAATTCAAGAAAAAATTAACATAAATAAAAAATATGTACCTAATCAAATTATCACATGAAATTGTAAAAACTTCAAATTTAAGACTTCTACTATAAGAATTCTACTATTCGAGGCAATATCCCTTGAGGACACAAAGATTCTTTTTGTGTTATCAAAGGTGGTGGTGGGAACAGGGACTCCCATTGAAAATGCTATAACCTTTCAAAATCAAACCGAACCGGATATAATCGGGTTGGTTTATGATTCTTGGCTAATTAATCTAATATGAAATTAAGTAGACCGGTTTGTCTTATTTTTATTTTGTTAATTTTATTTTCTACATGTCTAATTCTTGATGCTTGATTCTACAGTGAATCTTATAGAATTGATCATGATGAAAATGCTCAAGCCAACGAAGGTTGCCTCAGTTGGTTGTGTGTCGCCCCATCAAAGTTTGAGTCCTTTTGCAAGCAATTTTTGTGGGTGTGCGATCTATAAATTTCTAAGTAAATCCATTACAGTGGCAACTGGCAATTAGATGCCACGCGTAAGCTTTCAGCTCAAAATTGTGAATATACCATGATGTTGGTGGTAAGAGTAACCAATCTCCCTCTAAACTTTTAACAAACAAACAAACAAAAAAACAAAACAGAGGTTGAGGGAGCAACGGTTGACAAATCTGAAGGGAGCAAGGATATTCCCGATTGGTGGGTTTGTACAAGAGATATTAAACCCAATTTCTCAAAAGTCTAATAAATGTGAGCCAAACCAAACCAAATCAAACCATTTTTATATTGGTTCAGTTGATCAAATTGATACGGTCATTCTTGTGGAAGATCAAATGTCCCTATCCGATTAAATATAGGGCTTGATATTTAAAAGGAAAACTAATGAAAAATGCTTGAAAACTTTGAGTTTTAATGATAAGGACAAAATAAAGGGTAAAGTGAATAGTACCATGATTGACTTTTTAGTGTAAAAATATGGTTTTTCGTTAAAGTGAACAGTACCGGGTGTTTTTCGTTAAAGTTCCCATATTTAAAATGTTCAAAGAAATTCAAACTGAACTGAATCATGCTCAACCCCAACTAAACCTCCACAAGTAGGATATCAATTTCTAAAGCCTTGCTCTCCTGCGCATTTATTTCATAAAAGAGAATGACCAAGATTTTTTTTTATTTTTTTATTTTTTTTATCAACAAAGCGCCCAAGATTAAATTAAAGCTCATTTAGTTAAATCTCAACTATTCACTCGCGAAAAAAAGAAGAAGTGAATTTTCATAATTTCCTATTCAACCAACAAGAACAAAAACAAAACTTTTGAGCCCATAATATTATGGGGTGTGATATTCACATACCCTATTTTACTTTTCACACACCCTTCTAATTTTCAGCCATCGAATCAGATGAATTGAAGAAAGTCAACAGGTAGAAATTAACAATGGGTGTGTAAGAAGTAAAATGGGGTGTGTGGATAACACACCCTAATATTATAACCCACAGCCCAAAAATAACTTCTAAAGGTTAGATAAATTTTTCGTTATGACGGAAATATGGGTGGTACACTGCATGTTTTTATAGAAGTAGTGGGAAATTTTATTTTTTAAGTTATTAAATTTAACACATATATTATACCATTTGTATAGTGACACGTAATGTATCATCTCGTGTTACCGGTCACATTGAAAAATCTCTCCAAAGGTTGCATGTGCAATGTGCAACTTCCAAATATGGACATGGATCCTCTTCGGATCCAGTTGTCATAATCCACCTAGTCAAATCATCCAGGCCATTGAAATTTGATCAAACGGTTAAAATTATTATAACTTTTAAAGTGAACTCCTGTTTGTAGCAGTTGAATCAAATTTCAATGGCCCGGCTAAAATTATTATAACTTTTAAAGTGAATTTTAATTTGTAACCGTCGTATCAAATTTCAATAGTCCAGATGATTTGATAGATTAGAACAACTGAATCGGGAGAGGATCCATGTCCTCCAAATATTAGAGGTGAGTCAAACCTCCAGACCAAATTGGACTGTGCCTGTGCAATGTGCATCGCACCACAACAGCTCCTTCCAGCTCAACAAACAATAATGGTAGTTCCAACAAGAAAAGGACTAGAAATTGACTAAGTTAAAGTAAACCAATTACCACGTTTACTACTATTTCCAGTTTCAAACTGCATACCAAAAAGCATATATCAAACCCAATCAATTAGCTTAATTAAGTAGTTCTCAATTACTAACTATATATCTAATTAACAACCTTCAAGTTCACTGCATGTCGTTGTACTTTGATTCTTTTTAGTAATTTAGAAACCAAGTTGAACAAGCTGTTACTCTACTGCTTCACCTTCATCACTGGCATTGTGATCCGTTTTCGGCCTCTTCGCTTTTCTGGCCTCCTCCTCCTCCTTTCTTTTTTCGCTCTCGATCCTCTTACGTTTGAGAAAATTGACAAGTCCTCCGAGGGCAACATCAGCATCGTCGCTTTTCATGAGCTCTTCAGCAACCTCTGCAGGGGTCACCTCTGTGCTCTTGATCAACCCTTCGACTTCCCCGCAAAGACTATGAAGGTTGTCCTCATGAATATCGAGGTAATTAGAAGCCAAGACCTTGAATCCACTTGGAGTGCAGTATGACATGTGAATGTGCACGTCCATTCGCCCCGGACGTAACAATGCAGGGTCTAACCGATCCTTGTGGTTGGTCGTAAACACGATAATTCTCTCGTCGCCACAACTCGACCACAAACCATCGATGAAATTCAGTAGCCCCGAAAGCGTCAACTGCGGCAGCCAATTTTTCAGGATTAACAAATGAACATCATCTAATCCGAAATCATCTAACAAAGAGTTGAGAGACAAAAATCTAACATAGCTAGGCTTTAATATGTACAAATTACCAAAGTATGAAATAAAAATCGGATTAGATATAAGCGATTACAAAAAAAAAAAAAAAAACAAGTAGAGACTGACCTTGTTAGAAGTAGAACGTGTAGGGTCTTGAGACTTATCCTCCCAGTTATCCCGGTTCTGCAAATCCACAGTGCAATCGATATCCTCAATCACCAAAATCGAACGATTCGTGGTGGACAACAACAGCTTCCTCAAATCACTGTTGTTCTGAACGCCACTGAGCTCCAAATCATACACATCAAACCTGAGATAATTAGCCATGGCGGCGATCAAGCTCGATTTTCCCGTTCCCGGTGGACCGTACAGCAAGTAACCCCTTTTCCATGCCTTCCCAACCTTCTTATAAAACTCCTTCCTCCTCACAAACCTGTCCAAATCCTCCACAATCATCTTCTTCATCTCCGGTTCCATCGCCACCGTGTCGAACGTCGACGGGTGCTCCAGATTCACCGAACCCCATTTCCTCTTGCTGTACGAACGATCGTACTCGGAGCACAAATGGCTGGAGTAAAGCTTCACAACCTTTTCCTCTTCTTTGATGGCGTCAGCCCTAGCAAGCACGTACGGCAAGTAGGACCCTATCACTTTGTCCCTGTGCTTCCTGTGGAAGCTGAGCTCGAACTGATGTGTGTTCCCGTGCTTTTTATTCTCCGTCACCGTGTACTGCCATGTCAGATCGACGTTCTCGAAGGTGTCGGCGACTTGCTGGTTTTTGTCCATGGCGCGGCTGATGCTCCTCTGCCGGTTTGTTTTTCGGACACGGAAGCTTTTGGTAGAAGGGCTGATGTTGATGGTCGGAAGGTAGACCTCGGCGGCCTGGTAGACCTGGTTGCAGGCAGCGCCGGAGTACTCTTCGATGACAAGAGTTATGGAGGAGAGGGGGGTGAAAAGGTAAGAGAGTTTGGAGGAAATGTATGAGCGGAGGGGCGGCGGGAGGAGGTCGTTGGCCATGGAGCGGACCAGCATCATGGATCCGGCGACGGAGGCGTAGGCTGAGAACAGAGACGACGCTGTGGGGGGCATTTCTTTCAGATTATTGAGAGAAAACATGTGTTGTAATCTTCTTCTTACAAAGTGGTGTCTTAAGAAGTTTAGAACTCGAGAGTATAATTTATAAGAAAACTAATCAAAATGATTTGAAAATTTTGAGTTTTAATGATAAGGACAAAATAAAGGGTAAAGTGAATAGTATCAAGATTGACTTTTTAGTGTAAAAATGTGGTTTTTCGTTAAAGTGAACAGTACCTGGTGCTTTTCGTTAAAGTTCCCTAATTTATATGGGTAAATTTTAGAAATGATCATTTAACTTTAATTAATTTGGAGCAATGACCTTTAACTAAAAATTTGTTACCATTGATCCCTTAACTCATCAAAATGTGTAGCTATGATTATTTTCGTCAACTTTGTCAGAATTTTGTCAAAATAAGTTATGTTGGAAGGATCATGGTTACAATTGGGATCCATTAACTCATCAAAACTTGTAACTATAGTCATTTTCGTCAACTTCATCAGAATTTTATCAAAATGAGTTATGTTAGGAGGATCATTGCTACAATTGAGTTAAAGTTGAGGCTCTATTAATCTAATTGAGTTAAAACTGAGAGACAATTTCTCTAGTTGGATAAATGTTGAGGGACCAATAATAATTGATTTTTAGTTGAGGGACCATAGCTGCACGTTTTGATGAGTTAAGAGATTAATGGTAATAGATTTTTAGTTAAGGAATCCGTATTCCAATTAAGTTAACATTAAAAGACCATTGCTACAATTTACTCAATTTATATTTATCAACTAATTATTGGAGGTTGCTTAATCTCCAAGCAGAGTGATATCTTTTTTCTGTCTGTTTTTTTTTTCAGAGTTTCAGAATTGCAGAGAGAGAGAGAGAGAGAGAGAGAGAGAGAGAGAGAGAGCAGTTAGATGTAGTCAATTTTTTTCCAAGAGAAGGAGTTTTCCAGACAAATATGCCAACCTTTCCTTGCCTTAAAACGCGTGATAAATTGACCAGACAAAAAATAAAATAAAAACAAAAATGCTTTATTTTTTTATTTTTTTTATACTGTCACTAATCTAGGTCTTTTACCTCCTAAAAAATGTGGTAATACTTGAAATCGTAAAAGCATTACTCTTATCATATTCTTTTTCACACCACATTCATAACCATCTCTATAATAGAGATAGACCCACATGTGTTGATGTGTCTTATTTTATTAAAAAGATAATACAAATGTAGTATAAAAATGTGATGAGTGTAGTATTACAAAATGTGATGAGTGTAGTATTACTCAATAATAAAGAGCACAATATTGTTATGTCCACATGATTTGAATCGTATAAATAAAAGGGAATTTTCCTCACAGATCTTTGAAGTGCAAGTTGGACCAATGAAAGCAAACTTGTATGATATATATACATTATCATGGTTATTTAACTTATTTGTCACGTTAATAATACAATGACACGTAAAAGAAAGCTACCGCATATCTTTTTAATTTTTCACACAAAACGTCAATACAAGTCCATTTCACACATGACCCTTTTGGTCTCATTAAAAATAACACATGGTTTTTTACTCTTGATCCACAAACATCCAAAAGAAAGATGGGCCGGGTCACAAGGCCCACAACATCAACCCGAGAGGCTTCATCACTGAGCGCCACACGTAAGTTACCGAGTGATACAACTAATACGCCCAGCCTACCAACTCTTCAGTCTTAACCATTAACGATTAAGATGAACACTCGGCCTGATCATTTTCCGACCGCAGGAATTGAAGCAAACCTTGGTGTTAGAAGTTGGATTTTGTTTCTCTCATTGCCTGTTTTGTATATCAACGCTGCAGCAATCGATCCCCAGTCCTCGATACCAAAATCGAACGATATGTAGTAGACAACAACACCCTCTTCAATATATGGTCAGTGGAAGGATTACTATTCTCGAAATCATACACATCAAACTTGAGATAACTAGCCATGGCAGCGATCAAGCTCGATTTTCCAGTGCCGAGAGGACAATACTGTAAGCAGTATATGAATAAGTGAACTACTGCAACGTAGCAAACCAACACAACACTAGGATTACCACAGAATATCAGATTCTCAATAACTGGAAAAGCAGCAACTTGTAATCTGTGAGATCAACTTACCTGGAGGTATCGCCTTTGAGAAACAACAGAAGAAGTCTTCTACTTCCAACACATGAAATACTCCTCTCTAAGTGAATAGGGGTTTAGATATCAAAGAAGCGTACGTGTGGAAGCATGGACTTCAACTATTTATACAACCATTCATATGGCTAGAGATTCACTCGGTCCAGCCTATTATCAGAAAGAGTGATGATCTCTATCTCTTAATAAGTTTTAGTCCCATCATGACTCTATATACTAGTATATATATTTGATAAGGATCAAAATAGAACAGCTACAATATATAAAACTCCACGACTCTTATCGTACTAAGACCCTCAGACTCCTTGTGTTTCACATAACCAGTATAACTAGTTAAGCGCCACCCAAGTAGTCCAGTTGTAATCTCATTGTCATTCAAGCAAAGTTTTACAAATACAAGTAGTCTCTTTTCCAAGGCTTCCCCACCTTCTTATAAAACTCCCTCCGGCCTCCTCACAAATGCAAATCCTCAACAATCATTTTCTTCATGTCCGGGTGCTCTAGGTTTATCGAGCCCCATGTACCATTGTCGCCATTATCGTACGAACATAAATGACGAGAGCAAAGCTTCACAACCTTCTTTAATGGCATTCGCCCGAAGGCAAGAAGGTGTCCGTCACTTTGTGTTTTTTGTGAAATGTCAGCTCAAAGAACTGGCGCTTCGAACTTTCGCCGGACTTCTTTTTCTTCTTGGTGATAAATATCCAACATCCTGCAACGCAGACATAGGCTGAGAACAGGGAGAATGCTACTGTGAGCAGATTTTTTAGATCAAACAAAAACATTTTGGTAATTTCAGATTGGTGTGTTAGGTAGATGGATGATGACACCAATGAAAGGTTATTTACTCATCAAGCAACAAATTAGATTTTATGCAAGATGATTAGGTTGCTTAATAAGCAGATGATTTATTTTATTTATTTGGGTGTAACACTATGTTTGGATGAAGAAATTTAAGATTACTAAGGAATTTTAAAATGACGGAAATTTAAATAATGAAATTTTATTCTATAGAATTTGTGAATAAGCAGATGATTATTAAGCAACCTAAAAATAAAATAAATTTTATTCTATAAATTTTATTTGATCCCTCGTCACGACAAACAAATAAAATAAATCATCTGCTTATTAAGCAACCTAATCAGCGACCACCGTGAGTGCAAAGGACACCCAAATACACTCCATGAGAAATTTGCACATCCATTGACATTGACCAATAAATATTACACGTCTTAGTCGATTCGTGTGAATCGAACTTGAGAAGGCAAAAGAAAAATACTACTAGACTGTATTAATAACTGGTCTCCTATTAGACGATAAAACATTCACCAGCACCCACTTTGTCCTAAAGCCACCTCCAATAAGAAGAATTTTCCTTATAAATAGTGTTTTCTAATCAACCTACCACAAAGTTTTAAGACGGTACGCTAAACTACAAAGAAGAGGATTTGAACTTGAGTACATAGTAGGTAGGGCACTGCTCTTCCCATCGATTCGTGCTTGCCCGAGCGCCTGAAGGCAGTCTGACGTGGGCTGACATTAGGGCGACTGCGACATCTGCCACGTGGTGGACGGGACTTCCCTTTCTCTCTCTCAACCTTCATGGTTCTTGAATGACATCGTCGTCTCACGGTGGATGGGCGGCGGCGATGACGACTCTCCCCAATCCCTCCTCCTCGTGACCACCACCGCATTGCCGAATTGAGTAAGAGCTCTAGAACCCACAAACTTGTCGGAGTTTGCTTCGAGGAGGTGACCAAAAATTGGGCAAGGTTTCAGAGAAATTGCAAGGGGTTAAACCTCGTGCTATTGTAATACCAAATATTGTTATTATTAAAGGAAAATGTTTTGTTTTCATTTTTTTCCTCTTTTCTTAGTCTCTATATGATGCCAAACAATAGTATGGTTGTACTCTTTCACTAGTTGAAAAGATGAAGTTGCTGAGGATTTAGAAATTCAGTGAATTTGTACAGTCCATTACATAAGGATTTATATAGTCTTGAGTTCAGTGCCTTATTGGTGACTGATAATGATACTTGCCGAGTTCCCACATCTGGTTTATTAATATGTGTGTGTGTATAAGAATATATAAGAATTGATGTGCAGCGCATCCTCAATTTTAAAAAACAACTCATGTGTGTAGAAGCTTGTGAAACAGATCTTGTAATCTTCTAAAACATGTCTCTATTGCTGTGCAGTATATAAATTACAAAAAAAAAAAAAAAAAAAGAGTTGGACTTGTGGACCTGTCCCGAATCAGCCCGTTTCAAACGGGCCGGGTTAGGTCTGGTTCCTCCAAAATTGGGCCTGGCTCGGCCTGTGCGCACCCCTAGGCCGAACCCCCTTTGTTTTTGGTTGATTTTTGAACAAATTTTCCTTTATGCTTGGATTATTTGTTGGTGATTTGTTTTTTGGATATTAAATTTTAATTAAGGGTAAATTACATTGTACTCCCTCAAGTTTGAGGTATACTACAATCGCATGTAACATCTTCAAAACATTTCACTTTCATACCTTACCTACTATTTTATTTCAATATAGTACATCCATTACATTTTCCATCCATTGATCCGTTAAGAGTTGACTTGGCGCCCACAGTTGTGCCACGTGGCTGCCAAATGTGTGCCACATGGCAATTTTTTTTAATTCATTTAAAATATTATAATAATTTACCTTAATAATAATAATAATAATAATAATAATAATAATAAACCCAAATTGAAACCCACCTCCATAAATGGTTCGGACAGAAGGATTTGGGTTCCGGTTCGGCGTCGCCTTCGGCAGTGGGTCTCGACCAAATAAGGGGAGATGAAGAGAGTGGAGGAGGGAAAAGGTGGGTCGGGAAGGTGAAGAGGGATGAGTGGTCTGGGGGTTGCGATGGTGATAGGGAAGGGCTATGGTGGTGATGGGAGGAGAGGGAGGTGGGTCGAGAGGGGAATGTTTCTGGGTTTGTTTGCAGGGGTGGAGGGGGTTGCGCGGAGGTAGGTTTTAATTTGGTTTTTTTTTTTTAAAGGTAGATTATTATAATATTTTAAATGAATAAAAAATTATTTTTTTTGCCACATGTCACACATTTGGCAGCCACGTCAGCTTTTAGCGGATCAATGGATGAGAAATGTAATGGAGGTACTATATTGAAATTGTTGATGCACAAAACCAGAGGTCTTGGAATAACGTAAATCCGACCGTGAATCTGCAAGAAAGTAAATAACACAAGATGTATCGTGGTTCACCCCAATGTTTGGGCTACGTCCACACTGATTGTATTTCTCTGACTGTATGTATGGATTACAAGGGTGAGGAGGAGTCCCCAGAGAAAGAGAGTGTTGTTGTGTCTGTGAGGGTATTGCCCTCTGTTGGGTTCCTTGAGTCCGATTTGTGAGGGGGGAGGAGTCCCCTTTTATAGCCTTTTACATAATCACATGGGCTGGGTAATGAGGCCCAATGTATCAAAGTCTAAGGCCCATTATGTGTTGTACCAACAGTAGTCCTCCAAGTCTTCAGTCAAGAGAGTCTTTTGGCTGGAGACTTCAAATCCAATCCATGTACGGGCCGAAATGGCTAGATGTCTTGAACTAGTACTCAACCCAAGGCAATGCTCAACATAAAGCAATACTCGGCTAGAGGTATCACACGTTACGAGACTACTCGGCTGGAGGCGATACTCGTTGCGAGGTTGCTCGGCTAAAGGCTATGCTCGCGGCGAAGCGTTTGCTCGGCTGGAGGCGATGCTCGTTGCGAGGCGGCTCGACTAGAGGCTATGCTCGCTGCGAGGCAACTCGGCTCATGGTATTCCTCATTGCAAGTATCTACTTTATGTCGACATGCACTCAATATGAGTTGATTCTCGACATGACTCAGGTTCGCTTGTCGGGTTCGCATATTGGGTCTATGTGTCGGAATCGCAGATTGGGTCAGCAAGTCAGGTCTTTGAGTTGGGGCTATACGTAGGGCCATTGAGTTGGGGCTATCTGTAGGGTCATCGAATTGGGTCCGGGCACATAGGTGTCCCAATAAGCGAATGTCCAAGCAAGTGGATGTCCGGTCATACAAGAGATTATCATGAGCACGTGGCTCATCAGTCTATAAGTTGGTAGACTTCTTTAATCAGCAACAATGTTGATTGGTGGATCTAGTTACTTAATAATTCCTGACAATAAATGACAGTATACGTATGACCGTATAATGAATAAATCAAATTGACAAAGTTTGTCAAGGCAAAAATATTGTACTATGTGCCTTCTGTGAATAAATGATTTATTCTGTTGTGTGATAAATCACGTGTTGTATAAATCAATAACGTGGTAGTAATCATGTGATATCAGAAATATTAATTATATTATTTAATCATAAATCATCATGACATAAAAATAATAAAATTATTATTTTATAATTAATCATCATGACATAAATAAAATAATAAGGTATTAAATAAAAAATGATATTGAGAAAACATAATGATGGGATATTAAAGGAGAGCATCTTATCTTTTTCCATATAGGTGGTCGACAGTCGCAGATCGTTGGTGCGTAGCAGATCCATCTCACATGACTATACCAACAACAAACCCAGAGACCAAGAAAGTATGGTCAAAATATTGTTGAGTACATTGAACTTATCACATGGTTGCTGGGTAAAGCTTCGGATGACAACTCAAAGCACCAGAGAACAAGAAAGTATGGTAAAAAATATTCCTCTCACACGTTCCTCCCCAATTGTGTCTATCAAAATATTCCACAATATTGAGAGGGTTCTGACAATAATGGAAAAGAGAAGGACCCAGACACTAAGTGCCCAAACATTTCCTCTTCCTCCGGTTCTGTGTGCTCCCTCGCCGGACGTTGCGGATGAGCTGCTTGAGCTCCTGCAAGAGAAATCTCCGAACTTGGAATTTTCGCTGTCTATATCTGCCACCCTTACACCCTCTGAGTTTATTTTCTCTTCTATTTCTCAGATTCAGTGATGGAATCAGTGAAGAAAACCTTAGGGGACGTGGAAGAACTTCGATACTATGGCATTCTTCAAGACACTTATATGCAGCTTTAATATCTGCATATGTATTCTGCTCACTTGCCTTTCCAGTTGATTGCCCATACCCCGAATAGTCGTACCCCATGAGATTGACGCGCAGGTGGATGCTCAATTCGATGAAGAGCTTGTACATATGGCCCAGATCGGTGGCGTTGCTGTGGGAGTAAAGCAGTGTAGAAATGGCCAAAGGGTGGCGAATGTGGATGGCCACAACCTCAATGCCACGACGGGTCAGCAGTTTCAGAACTTCCATATTTTCCCAGTGATGGAAGGGGCTGAGAAGCAGGAGGCCGGTGTGGTCGTCTATGATAAGCTTGTAGGAAGGTGGGTTCGGTGTGAAAAAAGCGAACTTGGCCACCATGGATGACGTCCCCCACCCATATCACTCCCTCTCTCAAAACTGGCAACTCAATCATTCACTATCTCTCATCTTTCTCTCTCTGTAATAGGAAAAAGAACATAAAAGTTGAAGCAACGGAACAGCTAGCGGGACAGCCAGCGGGAGCAGGAACTCCAACACAATCAAATAGGCCGACGAGTTTGAAGAAATGATTCCCAGATTGCTGGCTGCAAGTCCGATCAACGTGCTTATCAATGCCCCACTTAATGCGCTCCCAATCTTTGTGTTCTTCTCTGACCAGATACCGAAAGCGCCTATGGCGAAGAGAACCATCCAGATGCCCAATTGGTCATGAGCAGAGATGAGAGGAGCGCTCACATTGAACTGGAAATCGGCCATGGAAGTCACAGATTGGTCTCGCTTGGGAGGATTCAGAGGAGAGAGAAAGCTCTGATTTGTGCCGATTACGATGGCGCCCGGGGAGGAGGCATGCACACTCAGGCTCAAGTTTTGGTAGGGAAGGAAATGTGACAGTTGGAGCGTCAGAAATGGGGGATGAGAGGCGGGTGAAACGGTGGGTTTTCTGGGAAAGCTTTAGGTTGTTGGGTTTTTGCAGATTCACGGCGGATGTGAAAAATTGAGAGAGAACCGACATAGCTTTTCGTGTCGCTTCACACAGATGGTGCCAAATGTTGATGCACAAAACCGAAGGTCTTGGAACAACGTAAATCCGACCGTGAATCTGCAAGAAAGTAAATAACACAAGATGTATAGTGGTTCACCCCAATGTTTGGGCTACGTCTACACTAATTGTATTTCTCTAACTGTATGTATGGATTACAAGGGTGAGAGGGAGTCCCTAGAGAAAGAGAGTGTTGTTGTGTTTGTGAGGGTATTGCGCTTTGTTGGGTTCCCCGAGTCCGATTTGTGAGGGGGGAGGAGTCCCCTTTTATAGAATAAGGGGCTTCTCCTTTTACATAATCATATGGGCCGGGTAATGAGGCCCAATGTATCAAAGTCTAAGGCCCATTATGTGTGGTACCAACAGAAATAAAATAGTAGTTGAGGTATGAAAGTGAAATGTTTTGAAGATGTTGTATGCGATTGTAATAAACCTCAAACCTAAGGGGGTACAATGTAATTTACCCTTTAATTAATTACTATCCTTGAATAAATGAAATTATTTTGAATTGATATTTGTTTTTCAAAACTTTTATGCATGTGACCGATTCAAATTAATTTTTCATTCTAGGTATGACTAGTGGGAAAGTTAGTTGTCTGGCAGATAGTGCAACTACGCACACCGTTTTGCGTGAACGCATATATTTCACTAACTTCATACCTAAGAATGCACCTCTAACAACCTTATCAGGCCCATCCAACCTGATAGAAGGATATGGTAAGACACATATTATGTTGTCTAATGGTACAATCTTGATCATTTCTAAGGCACTCTATTCTCCACGTTCCGGAAGAACGTTGTTGAGTTTCAAGGACATTAGAGATAACAATTACCATGTTGAAACCCACGTAGAAAATGAAGTTGAATTTATGTGCATAACTTCCTACGATATGGCCAGAAGCGTATTCTAGAGAAGATGGAGCGTATCCCGAGTGGTCTATATACTACGACCATACGCCCCATAGAATGCCATTATGTGGCCAATCCTACTACTGGGACTGCGCACGAAATTACACTTTGGTATGATCATTTGAGATATCCTGGACGAATAGCGATGCGTCGTATCCTCAAATCATCACACGGGTATCCACTAACCCGAAGCTTAGGTTCGATCTATGGAATCGCATGTCAAACATGTTCAATGAGAAATCTTATTACTAAGCCTTCTTATGGTAAGATTCGTTCGAATCCTCCCATTTTTCTACAATGAATTTAGGGGGACATTTGTGGACCGATTCACCATCCTTGAGAAATCTTATCACACGTGTGCTTGTTGTCCACAAGGAACATTGCATTCTCCAAACTATTGGCTCAGGTTATCAAGCTCAGGGCTCACCACCCTGATTATCTAATCAAATCTATTCGATTGGATAATGTTGGAGAATTCACATCTAAATCTTTTGATAACTATTGCATGTCGGTTAGGGTTAAAAATGAACATCTTGTACCCCATGTTCACACCCAGAATGGCCTGGCAGAGGCTTTCATTAAGCGTTTATAAATGATTGCTCGATCTTTGGTTATACATACCAAACTCCCGATCGCTGTTAGGGGCCATGCAATATTGCACGCAGCAAAGTTGGTCTGCTTGGAGCCTATTGCGACACAACCATTTAGTGCCCTTCAGTTGGTTATCGGATACGAACTCGACATATTGCATCTGTGCCTTTTTTGTTATGTGGTATATTTGCCGATTTAGTTGTCCTTACGTACAAAATTAGAGCCTCAGCGAAGGATGAGAATCTATGTCGGATATGATTCTCTTTTGATCATTCGTTACTTAGAACCTTTGACAGGTGATCTGTTTACCATTCGTTTTGCGGATTATCACTTCTATGAGACATTCTTTCCGTCATTAGTGGGAGATAAAAACATCAACGTATGATGCGAATTATCGTGGACGACTCCCACTTTGTCTCATTTAGATCCCCGCACTGCTCAGTCTGAAACTGAAGTGCAGCGTATATTAGATCTCCAGAGCATAGCTCAGAGCATGCCAGATGTTTTCACCGATCTAACGCGCGTGACAAGATCACACATTCCAGCTGCGAATATGCCTACAAAGATGGATGTATTAAATGTACGATAGACTTCCCTCCTAGAGCCTCGGGACGCCAAATCTGGTGATTCACGTACATTAGCGGCTAACCAATCATCTGCCCCTTACACAAAAGCACGGCAGACCTCTTGGTTTAAATGATTTACACCCTCAGAAGCGGAAACCCACGACACAAGGTCCTGTAGAACTTACCGTGAATCTGAATATCGCTTACTCATTCTATCCAACTCATGAGAAAATTCTAGATTATGGAAGCGTCCTTGAAAAGGTGAATCTTCCTAATGAGAATCGAGAGATTTCGGTCTATTATGCTAGCTTAGATGATGTGTGGCATAGAAATTCTATTATGCATTAACATATGCAGTAGCTACTAAGATCATGAATGTTGACGTAGAACTGATTGGTTAAACTGGAAACAAGCAATCTAAGTCGAACTCGATTCGCTTGCGAAACGTAAGGTGTTTGGACATGTAGCTCCTACTCCTCCATATGTGAAACCCGTTGGCTACAAATAAGTTTTCGTTCGGAAGTGTAATGAGAAGAATGAAATTGTGCGTTACAAAGCTCGTCTTGTTACACGAGGCTTCTAACAATGCCCCGTGATTGACTATGACGAAACTTACTCACCCATTATGGATGTGGTTACTTTTCGCTACCTTATCAGTTTGGTAGTTTTCAAAAAACTGGATATGTAGCTGATGGACGTAGTAACCGCGTATCTTTATGAGGATCTTGATACGAAAATTTATATGAAAGTTCCCGAAGGACTTACATTGATTGGTTCAAATATTTCTAAACCCCGGAACACGCTCTCAATTAGGCTGAGGCATTCACTCTACGGTTTGAAACAATCCAGAAGAATGTGGTATAACTGTTCGAATGAGTATTTGACTAGTCAGGGCTATGTGAACAATAAACTATGCCTTTGTGTGTTCATTAAGAAGTCACATTCTGGATTTGCGATTATTGCAGTATATGTTGATGACATGCACTTTATCGGAACTCCTGAAGAGCTTGCGAGAATTGCCGCACACCTGAAGTCAGAATTTGAGATGAAAGATCTAGGTAAAACTTGATATTGTCTCGGTCTCGAGATAGAGCATTGTTCAGATGGAATCCTAGTACATCAATCGAACTATACCCAGAAAGTGTTGCGTCATTTTAATGAGGATAAAGCGAAGCTTTCAAATATTCCTATGGTCATTCAATCGCTAGATGCAAAATGAGATCCCTTATGTCCGAAGAAGGATGATGAAGAGATTTTGGAGCATGAAGTTCCTTATCTAAGTGTGATAGGCGTTTTATTGTACTGAGCTCAATGCATTAGACTTGACATCTCTTTCGCTGTTAATCTTTTGGCAAGATACAATAATGCACCTACACACAGACACTAGACTAGCATGAAAGACATCTTTTGTTACCTTAAGGATACTACGGATTTGGGCTTGTCCTATCCTTACGAATCCTCGAATGATGCCATACCCTATGCTCTTCGAGTTGATTCTTGCCTTGTTGGTTATGCCGACGCAGGATACTTGTCTAATCCGCATAAGGTACATTCTCAAACGTGTTATGTCTTTACCGTTTGAGGCATCGCAATCTCTTGGAGGTCAACTAAACAGAGCTTAGTTGCCACTTTGTCTAACCATGCTGAAATTCTCACCTTACATGAAGCAACTCGGGAATGCTTTTGGTTGAAAGTAGTAGTGGGCCATATTCGAAGCTCCTGCTATCTTTATCCCGCCGTTGATGTCCCGACGACGATCTTTGAAGACAATGCAGCATGCATCGAACAACTTAAAAATGGTTATATCAAATGAGACAATACCAAGCACATTACGTCGAAGTTTTTCTTTTCACATCAACAATAAGAGCATCGGAAGATTAAAGTCACGCAAATCCGTTCACAAGACAATCTGGCCAACCTCTTCACCAAATCACTGTCGAAGACGATGTTTCAGAAGCTTGTTCATGGAATTGGTATGCGTAAACTTTTTGAGTTGTAACTTTGCTATTTCTCTTTAGAATTATGTCAAACTCAGGAGGAGTATCCTGTAAATACTTGTTTGATCTTAATATACTCTTTTTTCCTACGATTAGGAGCATTTTTTCCACTAGGTTTTTGCTACCTAACTAGGTTTTAACGAGGCACCCACCTTGGGTTGGTCATATCCCTGATGACGTCCTGTAGACATTTCTTTTGACTTTGCAATTCTCATGCATTTTTCCTTAGACTATGGATTTTGTCCATACTCAGATTTTTACCATAGCCTTAGGGTT